TCTTTCCCCATCGATACCTTCCAGACTGCATTTCATTTCTTTCCCTGTCGATATCCAACAGTCGTTGAACCTGTGAGGACCGCTGATCTTTTGTTTCTACAAAAAGTTGTATCTAAATTCCTGAAGCTATATTGCAGATATCTGAATTCCTTAAGTTGTATCCATCTACCCCAACCCTAATGGAATTCATTGATGGCTCAGAACCATAACATATCCTTTAACTCTATCGAAATTATGGCGACTTCATCTAACACTGAATGACCTTCAGAAGGTGTTATTGATTCCACCGGAGGATCAACTCCAACCTCCACTCCCTTGCAAACCGGAAGGCCAGACATCAACAAGTTCTTAATCACAAGTATGATTCGTGAGCCTCTAAAGACTGACTCAGCATATCTTAGAAAGTAGAGAACTCCATGGTCATGTCGTGGCTAATCAACTCCATAGAGACTTTGTTTGGTCGTTCATATATGTTTCTCCCTTAAACTAGTGCCCTCTGGACGGTTGTTTGTGATACTTACTCAGATGTAGGAAATTCTGCTCAACTTTGTGAAGTGTCTAAGAAGATTCAGAGTTAGTGATCATGACCCACTACTATAATGACCTTGTCGTACTATGAATGAAATGCAATCTGTACTACAATTACACTTGGGAGTCTTCGGCTGACATATCCCTCTTCCAGAAGATTGTAGAAAATGATTGTATGTTCCAATTCCTGGCTAGTCTTAATAAAGAACTTAGCGAAGTTCGGGGCCACATTCTTGGTCGGGATCTTCTTCCTACTGTTAGTGTTGATTTCACCAAGATTCGTCGAGAAAAAAGCAGGAGACTTGTCATGCTCGACACTTCCACTCATTCAGCCGAATCGTCCGCCATAATCTCAAATTGTGCTTAGCACTCGTCCATGTCAACTCGAACCAGTCACCCCACTTGTGATTATTGTCACAAATCTAATCACACTCGGGAGAAATGTTGGAAACTTCACGGTAAGCCGACATACAAACATTCGACCAAATTCTCCATTGTCAAGGGTCTCACGAAGACGGTCGATCATGCCATGACTCAATTGACTCCTACCCAGAACATCCCGGAACCCTCCAATCATTGAAAATCCAGATGGAACAATTGATCGAGCTTCTTGGAGCCAATCAAGTCTTTACAGGTCCATCGACCACTCACGTCCGACAAGGCACTCTTCATATGGCCCTCACAGTTTATTCTTCTAATAAGTGGATTATCGATTCATGTGTCACGAATCACATGAATGGATGCTCGCAAGCTCTCTCAACTTATTATCCTTGCTCTGGAAAAGATACAGTCAGAATTGTCAATAGTTCCTATAGCTTCATTACTGGTAAAATATTGATTGCACTAACAATCGATCTAACTCTAGAGTTTGTTTTACATGTTTCTCAATTACAAATTTACTTATTATCTGTAGCAATTTGACAAATGATGTTCATTACGTTGTTAATTTCTCTTCTGATGGTTGTGTTTTTTTAGGATCATCGTTCGGGGGATGATTGAAACTACTAAGAGAGTAGTCGAACTCTACTACTTCCAAGAGAAGAGCACGGAGAGTGCAAACACATCTCTCAAGAGTTATAGCTTACCTCAAGCCCCTAAATGTCTCATTATATTGTTACATTTTCGTTTAGGCAATCCTAATTTTTAATATTTAAAAAAGTTGTATCTTTTGATGTTTTCTAAATAAAAAACCTTCTAATTTTAATTGTGAGACATGTCAGTTAGCCAAATATCATTGGGTTCATCACTCACTCCACACTGAAACTCCTTCCGCTCATTTCTCTCATTCACAATGACCTGCTGAGATCTTCTCGCACTCTCAGCTACACCAATAAAAGATGATTCCTGACTTTCATTGATGACCACACTCGGAAGGCGCAAGTCTATATTTTAAAAGATAAATTAAAAGTTGTTATCACATTCCAAAACTTATATACCTTCATTTTAACTCAATTTAAAACAATGGTCGAGAGTTTTTTAACTCTATTTTAGGTGAATTCTTGGTAAGTAAAGACATTCTCCACCATAGCTTGTGTACGAACACTCCTCAACAAAATGGGGTAACCGAAACAAAAAACTGCACCTCCTCGACGTTGCTCATTCCATTATATTTCATTCAAATGTCCCAAAAATTTTTTAGAATGATGTCATTCTCACTGCCACCTATCTCATAAATAGAGTCCCCTCTAAAATTCACAAGTTTTGAACTCATTTGATCTTCCTGATGTCATGTTTCCCTATCAATCAGGTCTTTTCCACATTAAACCCAAAGATTTTTTGGTGCACTTCTTTTATTCGGAACACTACCCCAATCGGAGTAAACTTGATTCCAGATCCATAAAATATATCTTTTTTGGGCTCTGTCACTCAAAAGAGGTATCGGTGTCTTGATCCTACCACTAACAAAATCTATGTGAGTGTTGACATCTCTTTCTTTGTAAGTGTTCCCTATGTTCTTAGGAGGCCCCAAAGGAGAGCTTGGGCTCTTAGACACTATCCCCTATCATACTCCAATGGATGTTCCCCCTAAATGTTCCTATCACTGAAACCCTTCTAGTGAGTGTACCATCCAATGAGTTCTCAGATCTAATGAGTGCACCATCCAGTGAGTTCCTCACACTATCTGTTTCTACTCTCGACGCACCCGTTTGAATGCTTCTACTCTGGAATCTGCTACCTCCTTATAGAAACTTGACTCCACAAGAACTTGACTCAACCCTAGGCGACATCCTCAACACGAGCCCTCCTCCAAATGAGGAGCTGAGTTCTCCGAGTAAGATATACAATCAGACACAATTCTTCTATTCTAAGGCAAAATGTCTCTTTTCACAATTTATCACTGAACTACAGAGCACTTGTCACTGCCCTAACAAACCATCAGATCCTAACTACTATTGAGGTTGCTCTTGCTGATGCAACCTGAAAAATGACAATAATGGAGAAGATGAATGTCATTCATAGGAATCATAAATGGGACGACGTTGATCTTCTTCAGGGTAGGAAAGTTGTAAGGTGTCGATGGATTTTCAACACCAAGTTCAACTCTGATGGATCCTTTGAACGCAATAAGGCATGATTGGTTGTCAAAATGTGCTCACATACCTACAGAATTTACTATGAGGAGACATTTGATCCAGTGGCTAAGTTAAACACTATTCAGGTTCTGTTGTCTCTTGCAGTAAATTTGGATTGAACTTTATTCCAGCTAGATGTCAAGAATGAGTTCTTGAATAAAGAGCTTATCGAAGAGGTATACATGTCCCTCCCTCCTGGATTTTGACTCTACTACCTTCAAAGGGCATGTGTGCAGGCTGTGAAAGTCCCTCTATGAGCTAAAACTGGTTCGGCAAGTTTACAAAAATGTTTGTGAGTCATGGTTTTACTCAGGCTCAATAATATGATATTATCTTCTTCCGACATTCCTCCAATGACCAGGTAGTTATTCTTATTGTCTATGTTGACGATATTGTTCTTACAGGTAATGATTTCCCAGCAATGGAATCCTTAAAAGACATTCTTGCTAAATTCATTGAAATGAAGGACTTGACATCTCTCAAGCACTTCTTAAGCATGGAAGTGACTCGATCAACTCGAGGCATTTGCTTATCTCAGAGCAAATATGTGGTTGATCTCTTGACAGAGAACAAACTTCTTTTATGCAAACTCGTGGTTGTCCCTATGGGTCCCAATGACAAATTATCTAACATTTCCAAGGTTGTGTTTGTCAACAGGACTCACAGCCAGAGTCTTGTAGAAAAACTCATCTACCTCACAACATATTTCACACAGTTGGTATAGTGAATCGATTTATGCATGACCCCTATGAGCACGATCTCCAAGTTGTTCACCGGATTCTTCACTATTTAAAAGGTACAACGGGCTCAAGTTTATTTTTCTCTCGAAACACCTCTCGGTCTATTGTTGTTTATACAGATGATGATTGGGTCGGGTCGGTTCATGATCGACATATCACCTCGAGATATTTGTTCATTTGTATGGGAAAATCTTGTCACGTGGAAAAGCAAAAAACAGTTTGTGGTTATCCAGAGCAGTGTTGAAATTAAATTCCAATCCATGTGCTTGCGAATCTATGAAGCACTCTCATTACGCATCATGCTCCGTGAATTCATATGTCAATTTTCGTCCCTCTGCAGCTATTCTGTGATAATAACGCCGCTATCAGCATTGCTCACAATCCAGTCCAGTATGATCATACCAAATATGTTGAGATTGACAGACGCTTCATTGAGGAAAAGACCGAGTGACCCTTATTTTGTATTATGTAGTTTCTTTTTTATCTTTATTCTGATTTTATTTCTTAGATTGTTTTTACTTGAGTCCATTATAATTGAGTTTAAATACCCCTCTTTAATCAATGAGAATCAAGTTATTCTATTCCAAATCTCAACAGCATATGCAAAACCAAAGTAGAAAAATCAACCACATAACTCATATTCAGATATATAAATAAATGTAACCCAAAATCAAACAATTTCTAAATATGCAGAGAGAAAACAAGAAAATAACTAGACAAACCATTCCTCTTGCTTGAACAACAACATTCCATCTAGGAAGAGAATTGGAAGGAAGAAGAGACTTCAAAGCAAAATAAGACAAATTTTATTCAATGGCCAAAATTGCGTATAAATTATAAATCCCTTCATTTATAGAAGGGTGGGATAAGCAAATCCAACGAGAAAATAATTAAAAATCTATCAAAAATGCTAAATTATCAGTATCTTTGCTGACATTAATTGTAAGTTACATCATTACCAGCCTCGCTTTGGATTTATTGTAACATAGCATGGTTCCAGAATTTCCAACGTAGCTTATGATGGTTGAATGTTAGGTATGTTAGAAATATACTAGACTACCTTCTCTAGAACCTGTGACTCAGATTATTTTCAATCATAGCATGTGAAAATTTTGCTTGCAAGTACCATCAAAGTATACCTTATACCAGTCAAAAGTGTACAAATACAGAAAATGCATAAAAATTATGACCAGCCGCAAAAAATTATGAATTGGAACATTTTAATTACGAACTCAATGATTTCAGACTCAATGGAAAGATCAAATGGACATGAATCCTGCATCACAATCAATTCAAGTTGGCCTAATCAGAGTAAACAATTGGATCTTGAACCTGTTTGTTGCCAAATTGTACTAGTTGTGCTCCTATAGGATAAAGGAAAGTCAAACCGCGGCTTTTGTAGCAGATTATTGCAATACTAAATAAAATTCGATCGTATTTTGCACCAGACCTTCTTTTAAGCTAAACTGATAAGTACAGAACCTGTTAAGTTCCATAAGGGGTGGCACCTATATGATAAATGAAACTAGGTGGAGCATCCCTTCAGTCATTTGTGACTATTGCTCAACCTCCATGAAGGAAAAAGGAAAAAAGGCCAAAAAGGCAATGCCATATTCAAACCTTGTTAATTGAGCCTTTTGCCACTCTTTTACCTTTATATTCTCTATTCTATATCCAACTGCTTTCCATAAATTATTTTTAAACACTTTTGCAAACATGCCAACAATTCATTCTCCTTCTCTGTTTTTATCTCCCTTTCCCCATGAGAGGATTTAATTGGGCTGGGTCGAGATAACATCTCAAACCTCTAAAAAAAACTCTCTCTCTCTCTGTCAGTTTCCATCTTTTTTTTTGGAGTAATTCTTTCAGTGAGATTTAACCGCAAACTGCCATGCCAAGCACATTAATAGGTTGAAAAGGCAGGCGCAGGTGAGTTTCCCACCTGTCCACAATAAAAAACTCTCAACTGAGCTTCGTAAAGCATAGGAGCCATTTGGGATCACTCTAATTTTTTATTTCTATTTTTGTTTCTATTTTGTTTTCTTTATATTTTGAAATAAAACACGTGTGGCTATCTAATTAAAGTATGGTTGTTGTTGTAGATTGTTTCTATTTCAAAAAAAAGTTAATTTATTTTTAGAAATAAAAAAAATGTAAAAAACACAATAAACAAAAATGTTTAAAAAAACAAAAAACAAAATTGATCCCAAACAAGCCCTTAAACCTACAGTTATTTTCTTATAATTTTCAAATTTAACCTTCCATATATCAACATATGGAAATTAGCCTTTTTAACAATAATATTCATAGGAATATTACTAATGCAAACCATCAATAGGATGGAGATTTACAAAATACGCATATTGTATAATGCATGTGCTATCAACCATATTGAATACTTGCATAACAGCATACAACTTCAACCAGAGTTACCATCTTGAGATGATAATCTCATATAAAAAAACCAACATGTATTCTTGTTAATAAAATACAAAATTCACATTCTGAGGCAAAAATTTTTACTCTAACAGTTCATGGCAAAATATTAAAAAGCAAAGGCAACATTTAAGATTAATATTTCACATAGGACCAATTTAGAAACTATTGTTATATGCTATTTAGCAATAAACAAACCTTACCTTCTCGAGTACAAGTTTATACTCTAGCAGCTCATTGTAGGTGCGTTGCAACTTTTCACTATTTACATTAACTTCAACTAACTCTGTCTCAAGCTCCCCAAGTTTTATCTAGGCAACATGAAATAAAAAGTAATGAAGAACTCTTGTAAACACAACAATAAACAAAAGCTTCAATAACCATCATTTAAAACATATACCTCTAGATCATCAAAATCAAGATTGTTTCGTGTCATGGGTGTTGTTGATGGAGAAATCCCAGCCTTCAACATTTGTTCCCTAAAGAAACGTAACTTCCGTGCCATCTCACCGCATCTTTTAATCTGAAGGACACTAATCGTTAATGGTTACAAACAAAATATGAGATAAAAATAACAAAATGATCACAAGTACGTTACTGGAGATGTTTCTTTTTCACTAGGCTATATTAGCTCTTTTTTGTTCAAATAAAAGTTCAAAATGTGAAAAAACACAAATAGTAAAAGACCAAGAGTTTCCATGGGACCCAATCTTTGATGTAAAACTAAAATATATCATTTGATTCAAGGTCCCTCAATCAATAAACAGTAAACGTTTTATTTTCCTTGTTTGATCAAGATATCATCAAATATTAATAATAAATCTATAATCTTACACAACAGAAATCATGGACTAGAAAATAAGTTACCTGGTTAGCATATGTGCGTTGAAATGGACTCTTGTCTGCATTAAGCTGAAAAGAAAGTGGCACAAAGTCAAAAACATTAGCAATTATATAAAGCAATGTAATTAATGTGAAAATGCATAAAGGTTTCGGTCGACACAATTCATTATGGAATCATAAATTATACTAAATAGTACACCCAATCAAATAAGAACTAAAATAAAAGTGGAAAATTTGAACAGTTTAAGCTATGTTTTAAGGTCAATCTTGAAAATAAATTATCCATACAAGAAAGATAAGTACTGTTAAACCAGCAAGCACAAGTGTCAACAACAATATAAAATCAGATTTAAAATTCATGAAGTTTCTGAAAGGTATTTTTCATTATACGTTTTTTTTCTTCAAAGGGTACAACTTTGAAATCTTAAAGAGGCATTAGTTAGCCATTCATCCAAATAAAACGTGTATTTAGTTTTATTTCACAGAATAATTTTCTATGGCAAAGGTTAAAGGATGAATTCCTCTCTAATAAAGTATCAATGCATCTTGTGGCATTATTGAAAAAAGACTAATAACATGAATAAGATAAATCGTCTCACTTATATGAAAAAATGAAAAACACCTCTTATCAACTATAAATAAATAATGCGTATGACGGAAGGGAGAAATCCTATTAAAAATTTTAGTGGCCAAATGCTCAAAACCTCCATCAGTCATTTGTTCCATGGAATAGACATATTTTAAAACTCATTCTACATGCTAATATTGAAGCAAAAAATAAATCCTTTACAGCTTTCGGTATTTGTTCAACAACACAATGTATGATTGCAGTATGTTACTGTATGACTGTGCTGGTGCTATGTTATAACTATTCTTCAGCTCGTTTTTTTGTGTTATAAGTTGCAAAGGAATAAAGAAGACAGCCACTGTTGCTATTGTTGGAGAATTTTTCTAAAGCAAAGTAGATAGATTCAAAAATCTTAGACGTGCATAAAAATATGCCCTTTAGCGAATTCCAGATGTGCAGGATATAAAAAAGGGGTAGTTTATGGCTTCAATTTCTCCACTTTACAAAAAATATAATTGAAATTAAGCACAACAATTATTTATTGCTGACAAGGACAATCAAAAGCAAAGAATATATCGGCAAAATTCAGATTTTCCAAAATGTTCCACAAGACACAGCCTACCACTAATAAATGACCATCACCTCAAACTTAAACTAAAGGATAAGTGTGATTGGATGGAACAATAAGAGCTTAAAAAAACAGAAAGCCATGCACTGCGCAGAAACCATAACTCCTAACCCCAACATCCAGTCAGGTCGCCTATCACTTAACAATTTGGCACTTTTACAATATAACAGGAGCATTTGATGGGTAATATACTGCAACCCTGTTTCATCGTCATCAAAAAAGGGTTGCCCCGCTTATTTTGTGACTAAGCTATCAAATCGTAGCCCGAAATAAAAGAAAGGTGAAACAATTAGACAAAAATACTGAAAGGAAGTGAGAAATGGAAGCGTACATCTTTGAATTGAACGAGGCCGATATCTCCAAGGTAAGAGACGGTAAGGTGGGCAGACTCCATGGGGATGATTATCTGCACTAGATGCATAGGCTCCGACCGCATCAGATCCAACGGCGGGCAGCAGCCACCTTCGCCGCGACCACCGCGAACTGCCATCTCTACGCTGTCTCGTTCCAACCGGCTAGCCTCGAATGGTTGTAGAAGACCTAATCCTGGAGCATTTAGAACGTGGACAAGCCACAGCGACGTGGAAAGGTGGTTTTATCCGCGATGCCCTCCGTGCCCACATAAACTCGAGATAATGAAGATAGCCTCACCCTGCTTTTATTCACTAGTATAAAGCGGCCCAAACTAGCCGAGTTCCCGTTTTTAATTGGCTCATTTAAAATTATTTGTACTGAGATTAGTTTTGTTTGAGTTTGTTTGTAAATTTTATAAATCGAAATGAATCGAAGTTCAACATCCAATCAATCACACCAAATAATTCTTCAACATAATCTAATCACTCAAACTGAATTTTAATTCTATTTAATCGGTTCGATTTCACATAAATCAAATTTTATTTTTTTATATTAAAAATGAAAAAATACATACAAATGCAATAACATGAGTAAAAAAAATCACTAATCACAATTTGCTCGCCCCTCTGTGGTTCTGAGAATGTATAAGCAGTTTTCGGCGGATTCATTTTGTTTTTTTTAACGATCGCTGAAATGAGCTTGAGTAGGTCTAATCAAATTGTTTGTGTGAGTTCATATTTAAAATCGCTTCATAGCACGGGCCCCAGGCCTACATTCCACCATACCCTAAGCTAGAGATGTAAACCAGTTGAACAGGAGCGAGCCCAGGCTCAGCTCGTGTTCAGCTCGTTTCGAGTTCATATTTAAAATCATTTCATAGCACGGGCACCAGGCCTACATTCCACCGTACCCTAAACTAGAGGTGTAAACCAGTTGAACATGAGTGAGCCCAGGCTCAACTCGTGCTCGGCTCGTTTATATTTCGAACTCAACAAGTGTGTTTGTGTTCGACTCATTTGTTCAGCGATTTCAAACTCAACAAGTGTGTTTGTGTTCGACTCATTTGTTCAGCGAGCCGACGAGTTATTCATGAACAAATGAGTCCCAGTCACGTAGTCATAAGATGTCATTATTGTTTATATTAAAACATCATTTTAATCTAATTTAATATTTTTTATTTTCTTAATTAATACTTTTAACTGATTATAAATCTATGTAACCTTCTAGTCAATTAATTTTTTTAAAAAATACTGCTCATCAATATATATATATATATATATAATTTATGAGTAGTATTTCGAGTCAAAACTAGTTGAACACAAACGAACAAATCTTTATTCGTGTTCGGCTCGTTAACTTAGCGAGCGAGCCGCAAATGAGCTGTTCGCAAATAATGAACGGCTTTGACAGCCCTACCTTAAACGGGCAATTTTAATAGATTTTGATATTTAAACAAAATTATAGTAGTAATGAAAAAAGACCGCTAATGTGGGACTAAATAAAAATAAGAAATCAAAGAGAACGACCATTGACTAAATAAAAATAAGAAATCAAAGAGAACGACCACGGGAGAAAAAAAATTAAGCATATTTACATCTGTACCACCAATTAATACGTATTTAATCGAGAATTTTCAAGGTCTGTTCCAAGAATTTACCACTAAAATTTTCAAGGGCCACTTGAATTTTTCATGGGCATTTAAGTACATACCACCCAATTATTAAATATTTACATTTTATCATGAGGCGAGTGAAAATTTCCAAGTTAAATTTGCATACTGTTGATTTCAATTCTATCATTTGGATTATGTCTAAGGATAAGAGCGTAAAAACTCAAGAGAAGGAAATAGAGAGAGAATGAGGAGGAGAATAGGAGATGAAGACTTGCCCTCTCCGGACAAATCGGGGTAATTCCGGCCTCCTAAACCCATTTTATTCTATTAAAAATAGAGATTACAAGTGAAGGGAGTCAAAAAAAACCCTTTTAAATGAAAGGGTATTTCTATTTATAGATGATAGAAGGGTCAAAAAGTAAATTACAATAATACCTTTATTTTAAAAGAATGGTACAAGATATTTTAGTTTTTTTTGTTGGTATGTTTTGTTGGGTTTCTCATTGACCGTTGGATTTGTCATTCTAGAGTTTTTCTGTTGGGGGGAGTCTTTGAATTCTGGTGGCTAGTCTGGGGAAAAAGTCATCCGTCAGGGGGAAAAGTTCTCCATCGAAGGCAAAATCGGCTAAGGGTAGCCAATTTGACATGAGCAAACAACATATTCTCTTGAAATCCATGCAGATCATTTTTTTACTATATATATTAAGTTCTTCAGTTTTATTGTTCTTTGATAACAACAATTGTGATAAGAATAAAAAAAAATTATAGATTAAACAAATATTGAACACATAATTTGCTAAATAATACTCTCTATAAGGTGTTTTTCGTGCTCAATTCGGAAATCTTTGTCGTCATTTGTTAGATCTGTCATTTTGGAGTTTTTCTTCTAAGGAGGTCATTAGATTATGATGGCCGGTCGTACGAAAAGTTTGGTCGTCGAAGGAAAATGTCGGCCGTCGGAGGAAAAATCAGCAATCGAATGAAAGGTAGGCAATTGGAGGAAAAAATTGGTTGTCAAAGTTCTTTGTTCGTTTGCCTATCCTGGAAAGAGTTCTAGAATTGCTCGCTCTGGAGGTGAGTCCTAGAGTCGTTCACCCCAGAGTGGAGTCCTGGAGTTATTTGCCTCAGAGTTGAGTTCTAAAGTTGTTCGCCCCGGAGTGGAGTCTTACAACTATATACCCCTCACCGAGCTTATTGTTGTCGGGTGACAAGCCATCTTGCACCTCTCGCAAAGCTTGTCGCTATCTAGTGTTAATTTTTTAGGAGGGTCGAGAACGATTGTTTCACACCCCTCACGAAGCTTGTCGTTGTCGGGCGAAACGTACTAAGAGCCACTGATTATCGTTTTGTACCCCACGTAGAGCTTATACTGTCAGGTGACGAGTCTTCTTAAACCCCCTGCGGAGCTTGTCACTTTCAACTGTTAAATTTTTAGAAGGGCTGAGGATGATCTTTTCACACCCCTCATGAAGTTTGTCTCTATTGGGTGTCAAATGTCCTATGAGCCGTTGATGATCTTTTGCACCCCTTAAGGAGATTGTCACGGCAGGTAAGAAGTCTTTTTACACCCCTTGTGAAGCTTGTCGTTGCAGAATGTTAGATTTTAAAAGGGTTGAGGACAATTGTTTCACACCCCTCGCGGAGCTTGTCATTGTCGGGTGTCGAAACGTTCTAACACCCGTTGACAATCATTTTTCACCCTTGTGGAGCTTGTTGTTGTCGAGTGACGAGTCATCTTACACCCCTCACAGTGCTTGTCCCTGCCAGGTGTTAAATTTTTAGAGGGCTGAGGATGATCGTTTCACACCCCTTGCAGAGTTTGTCATTGCAAGATGTCAATCCTTTATGGAATATATTGTCTTTTTTGAATGTTAGTTCATCTAGTGCTTGTAAAAAATATTGTTTGGAGGAACAGATGATTTGGTCAGACCTGCATGAACATATGAATATGCAGGAATTGAGTGGTATGTACATAAATCTTCCTTCTTTTGAGATGGCCTACGCGAGGCAGGAGTCCGATTCAGTGGTGTTTGGAGTAATCGGTCGGACGATAGGTTGCCAGTTGGAGAGTAGTTCTGCTAGGAAAACAAATTGAGCAATATAAATAAGATTTATGGTATGTAAATATTAAGAATTGAGTGTTATGTATGTAAATCTTCCCTCTTCTGAGAAGACCTATTTTAAACCGAGTTTGTGTAGGATATATAAATAAGATTTATGGTATGTAAATATTAAGTATTGAGTGTTATGTATGTAAATCTTCCCTCTTTTGAGAAGACCTATTTTAAACCGAGTTTGTGTAGGATGTCCGGGAAGAACTTCAGGTAATGAAGAAGGGATTGATGAAAACAAGGATTCAAAAGCAAGAATGGGTGACCGATTTATTTATAAACATATCAGCATAAGAAAGGATTTGAGATGATTAATTAATAGTACTTGTTTGTAATGATACCATAAGTTGAATTATAAATGTATTGTTGTGTCGAGTTAGAGTTCAATCCCACATAAGGATACTAGTATTAAAGTTAAACTACAAGAACCTGAAGTGGAATAGAATGAGGACATTTTATAATAGAAAGTGTAATTCAGCGAATGCATGTCTAGAGATAAATGTTGTGCTGGTGCTAGAATCATGATGCTTGTAGCTTTTCTGAAAAAGGAGCACATCTAATAAATACAGCTTATCGGCCTTAGGCATAATTTATTTTTAAATCGTGGTTTCAACTAATGGAAAGACCGGAAAACTTAAGCAAGAATAGGGAGCTGATTGAACAAATATTTGATGTGGAGAAATACTTATAGTTGCAAGAAATAGCATCAAGTTTATAAGGTAATTGAGTATGAACAGAGTATCCACCTATAAATGATGAGGCTATTGGATTTCAAGCAATAGATTGCTAACCATTTTGAATATAGGACAGTGTTTCTCTCAAAAACGCCATTTTAGATATGTACGGACAGTTGTATTGATGAATAATACCCATGAAAAGAGCAAAATTTATTATTCATCCATTACTAGAAATGATCGAGGAAGGTCACCATATAATAGAATGTGCAAGTTCAAACCATTAATCACATTGTGATTGAGATATGATAAAATAGAAGTTTGTGGTGTTGAGCCAGCATACAAGAGTTACAAAACTAGATAGAAGTGCATGTACTTCGGTTATTTTTAGCTGTAATAGATATAATATAAATTCTAGAATAACAAAGCTAATGATGCCATAGATTTGTAATGGAAGAAGCAACAACTATGTTGTTGAGGCGAGATGAACCTGACTGGGATTAAAAAACAAAATAAAGGCCTTGACCACTAGGCCTCAAAAAATAGAAATTGAGTGGATGGTCAGCCAGCACAATGTTTATGATCTGCAACATAATTGATTATGCTCTCCACATATCTTCACGCCAAAATTAATGTGCTTAAGTAGTTTGATTAGTACTCCGAGTGTAAGAGAACCCATTTTCTCTCATTTTCCATTGTTTGCCTTTGAAGAGTGGATTAGGTAAATATGCTTAAGAGTACTTCTTATTCTCCTTCTCATGGGCGGAAGTTGTTAGGCACATCGACATGCCTGATAGAAGGTAAGCATCGTTGTCTCGTAACTTTGAAGCTAATCCGAGAAGGTTAAGAATGGCTTTATCGATGGTGAGTGTGATGGTTTG